AAAATTTGCCCCAACTGTTCATGGTTCAACTTCTGCGGTCATATCAGGCTGCGCTCAGCGCCGAAGCATTTTATTTTTGTTATAATATTTTAGACATATATAACTCAATTAAAAAAATCATTGCTAGCACTGAATGCAATAATCCTTCATCAATAAAGCATCGAATCGCAAAATATGACAGTACAAGGGAAAAGCTGTGGATTTTCTAAAAAAAAATCCATATGTTTAGCATTTAATCAACACAAGGGTACATAATCCTTAAAAGCCTTTGAGAACGTAACTTTATAGCAAGGAACTATAATGTATGCAGATTTTCTTGGAACACATACGAAGGTCTTGAATATTGGGGGGGGGGGGGGGGGGGGGGAGGTCTTTCAATCCTAATTGTCTTTTAATTTGTTAGTCATCTGTTTTTCTCTATTCTTCATATTTTTTCTCATTATTCTATATTCTTTATTTTCTTGGCGTCTATTTTTCTTTACTTTTCTGGTCCTATGTTGTGCACTTTTTGTCCATTTGTGTTCTCTATTCTTCTATAAATCCTATCCAGACCCTCACAAACATACATAATCAATAAGTTCCGCTCCTATTACCTAACCCCACTTGACATGGATATAGATAATTGTCATCCATGGGGTTTTCTCATCCGTTTTGAATATAACATTGCTATTAAAACGGGTACGTTATAAAAAAAGAAGACGTGGTATGATTGCCAATAAGACAACTCTCCACAAGAGAAATGACACAGAAATTAACAACTATAGGTCACTGTACGGCCTTCAACAATGAGCACAGCCAATATTGTATAGCCAACTTTAAAAGGACAACATACTAGGAGTCCATTACATCAGATATAACAGATGCTAAATTGTTGACTTTGTTGGAAGGCAAAATGATTAGCCCTATACTGACTGGAACTAGTATATATATATAACTGAAACTAGATGAAAATCAAGGAATCTACACATGCTGTAATAGCAAATCTGAACGGAACCAAAACGCATGTTTGTAAAAAAATAAATAATATTCAATTTACATTTCAGCAACTGTTATATAAGTAATTATTAATGATGTAGTTCGTGAATAAATTGTCCTACACAGTGGAACAAATGGACAATCTAAGTACGTTAATGTCTGGATTAATATTTCTGCAAAGACGTTGTCATTTTATTGTTTCCATTAACCGACTTAAATAAAAATCAAATTATAACTTTGTAATGATTATAAATGTTTACCTTTTGAAATAAATTTTGGTTTATTGAATATATTTACGGGAAAAAAAGAACTCAAATGTTTTATTTCCATGTATTTTATGACATATTAAAAAACATCTTTGTGTAAAAGAAAAATCGAATCACATCTAATTTTGATCGGCCGTAAAATAAACTTCACATCACTTTATTTATATCACAAATCAATTTACAAAAACTTCTCAACTATGTCATAATAGAAAGCACGAGTGATCTATCTGGTGGACCAACTTGTGGCTAATGATTGACAGGTATGATTAGATCTTGAGGCTCCTATGGGGAACGTGGTGTCGAAAGGAAAATAGAAGATTATTCAATTATAATTTTTAGGACTCGTACGAAATGTGATCTGATATGGAAAATTTTGAGTTCTTTTAAAAGCACAAAGAAATAAGACGTTAGAAGGGTAACAATTGTGTAACTATAAACCAATGACTCGTATGTAATTTACGGGAAAGATTTTATCGAAAGTTTGTTGAAAACTTTCAATTTCAAACCTTCTTGGTTGGAATGAATATGTTCGATTTATATGCAAATAGGTCTTTATTATATAATATATTTAAATTATCTTCATTAATTACAATACAATATATAACATGTATCTATGATATCCTCCATAACGACTAAATATATGTACAGGTAAAATTAAATTCTGATCTATCGGGTACAGATTGATTTACGACCTTCCACTGGTATTGCACAAGCAATATCACAGCAGGTGTTAACTACACTAGGACAAGTGTCAGATCAGTTTGACATCCTGCCCGATTACGGTATCTTCCGGAGACTCTATTAGTACAAGGACTGATTTTTTTCTAAACATGACAATTGTGAAGAATTTTTTAAAGTGAGAACAAAGTTTCTGACCCAAACTATCGATTCACATTATGAATCTATCATGAATAGTAGATTAGTTTACGTTTTTTAACGTAAATACGATTTCCATTCATATATTAAAAAAATTGTAGTTGTCTATAGCAAAGATAACATGTGTATTCATCTTGTTCATTGTTCACATTAAAATAGATTTTTCTTTAATGAACAATGACAACATTTGATATTTAAATCGTAAGTAACTTTATCAAAAACACCGTTTTATCTCGACCGAAAAGGGAAATAAGATAGTTTTTTTAATCTGACTGTAAACATTGTATATATCACAATGATCTATTAATAACCGTCGCTCACGCATAACGGATTCTATAATCATCTATGTACAACGATCTATTAATAACCGTCGCTCACGCATCACTGGTTCTATCACTGACTCAATACACACCCGTTTTATCAGACAAACGGCTAATTCCCGCCGACACGGAAAATCTCCGGATAACATGCATAATATTCTGTAATACAGCAAATTTACGATGAACCTCTAATTATTATCCGTTTCGCGGAGATTAGCCAAAAATCGCGGGCATTTTCCAAATAGGTCTACCAGTGCACCAAGTACATAATTTAAAAGTTACAGCTTTAAAACTGTAATCCTAAAAAAAATCAGCCGTATAAACTCTATATACCAAGTAAGGGACGGACTGTCGAAGGACACGGGTAAAACAATATGCTCCCAGCATTTTGTCAAGGGAGCAAAATATATATTAGCATATATGATGATGTTCTATTTTATAAATCATTTGGTGACAAAATATCTTTTTGAATAAGCAGTTCATAGTGGAATGGTAATATGGAGATCTCAAATGTAGCAACGTAAGCAAGCTAACGTCTACGTCATTTGGTCTTTGATGGAAAGTTGTCTAATTGGCAATCATACCACATCTCCTTATTTCATAAGCGATTGAGTTTTCTCCTAAAATACAAGAATTTTAAAGACTAACAAATACGTACTAGGAGACTGAAATATGTTGCTGTTATAGTTAAAATCTGACTTTTGTTGTGAACATGTGATGTTATAATTTGATAGATTTAATACTTGCCATACTAAATATACTTATTAACTTTCAAATTCAAGGGACCGACAAATCTTCACTAAAACTACAAATTAGCATTAATTGATTGATTGTTGGTTGCTTAACGTCCAGTGGCAAATATTTCATGGATATTCAGGACGATAAAAAAATTAGCATTAAAAAAAATACTCGAATTAGTCACATGTTATATAAATGTCTTTGGTTTTGTGTGTCGTTAATTGGCTACTTGCTGTTTTATTGTATATCCCACATTTCCATTTATGCACACAAAGAAAAAACAACCCTTTTAATTTACATAAACATTTGTAAACTTGTTGTAAAAACTCCTTTTAAGACTGCGAAGTATCTCGGGCTTTTCCCGACGACTATGTGAGCAATATGCCCATCCCCCAAAAGGCACCTTTGCTAATCGTCTGTGAGTCGTTTTGTCTCCCCACTTTGTGAAAAGGTGCGTTTTTATCAGCTGTACCTGTAAATCATGTCCAATTCAAAACACCAAAAACACACCCCTCCCCGAATACAAAGTGCAAATTAATATGATTCTAAAATAAAATTGATTTTAAGATCTCGTTGTTTTTTTGTTCCTGCGCGCGCGTTGTGGTGGACATACAAATACCGGGCGTCCGTTCTTCAGTCCGTCCGTTTGTCTGTCTGGTCTTGTTAGCTCTCTGACGTGTATAATTCTTGCCTGATTTTTATAAAGCTTATATATTAGGTTAATATCAGCATTTTCGCTGACAAGTTTGAAAATCAATGCCAATGAATTATTTTTGAAAGAGCCATGCCCCTTGGATACATTAATTAATATATGGAAAATTGCATTTTTAAGCGCTCTCACGTGTACAATTTTTGCCAGATCTTTGAATAATTTATATCAAAGGTTTATATCAGCAATATCTTGGATAATTTCGAAGGTCAGTGTTGATCAAATATTTTTAAAAGAGTTATGCCCCTTGGAAATAATAATTATATTGGAAATTTCATTGCATTTGCTCTCAAATCTGCATTTCTCTAGCTATTAACGATATTTATTAAAAAGAATCAATCAATTTTTTTTAAAGTTATAACGGCCATTGACAGATACAATATGTACAACGCGGGAGGAGGGTGGGGTGGGAGCATTGGAACTGTTTTTTTTAATCAGTTTGTTTTTGCAGTTTGAATAAAATGGGTTAATGAAAATATCGTTTTGTAGCTTGTTTGCGGTCGAAGTGCTTTTCTGGATTAACCTTCATCGTAGCACCGATCATTCATTCATTGTGGGGCCACAGGTTTTTAAAGGCAGTGCTTTAATGCCTTTCTGGTTGCCGGGTTAATCCTTCCTTCCGCGATATCCAACTTATCTACGTGGGGGGTCATTAGGCTCCAAGTAGATCCGGAAATGTTGAATTCTCTCCTCTTCTTATGGTGATATAAAATGTTTTTTGTTTCATTTCATTTACATTGGGAAATAGAGAAACGATCATTGTGTTTTGTTAGTTTTAAAAACTTTTGATATATTTGTATTTTGCATTATAAGCAGTCAACCGATTGACAAACTAGAATTATTTGAATTCCGTGTGGAAAGAGCTCGGGTTAATTTCGAGTGTTATCTGCAATCTAGATGTTTATAAATCATTTCAGTCGTTGATATAATAATTAAAGGTCGACTGAACATGAATTATATTATACAATTTATAGCGTATTTCTGTTTATGCACGTGAACCCGTCTAACGTTATTGTTATTTCGCAGTTATATAAAGTAGCAAATTATCGTTCCTGAATAGGTGGCGCCGTGGTAGCCGATCCTGTTCCTCAACTTCCGGTTCCTGCACTGTGTGCAACTATTTCAGTTACATTTTTAATTAACGATGCCAAGTACTTGTTGTTGTGTACCTGGATGTCATTTAAGAGGAGGACATGCATTTCCAAATGACTTAAAAAGAAGGAAAAGTTGGATCAACGCCATGGCCCATACGCAGATTGGACGAGAACACGATGTCGATGAAATCGAGGAGTCCATCTCAATCAGCTGTTGTTTGCAAGGCACGTTTTACTGTAAAAGACTACGTGCAGGAAACTATTCATGGTAAAACTCTATTTTCTTTTTGAAATATATAGTTATATATGTAATCGCCATGCGAATAAACCAAAGTCTGTTTACAACCGCAATTATCGTTTTAGAATAAAAGGGGGTGGTTAATTCAAGACGTCATAATTTTTTGGATTACGATTCAATGTGATCTGTTTGAGATTTTTTGGTGATTGCTACAATTATAATGATTTCTTACAAGAGGTTTATCATACTGAGAATTATTTTAGCAGTAATTATGCTGATGTAAATGTAGTAATGACAGGAATGCATAAGCTATGCCTCATAGACTTTCTTGAAAAATATCAATGACAATGTTAACAGGATAATAATAATAATAATAATAAATAAGCTTTATTTAGAGTCGGCAAGGTATACAAACAAAGACAAACATAAGCTCTAATGAGCTTTTAACCGACATACAAGACATTTATAACAATACAACATGTTACAATACAACACATAATACACATGCAATAAATTACACAGCACAAAAAGAAGGGTATCGGGTCCGTTCGCACCCTTTTTTTTTATTCAAAAACCCGATGAATTATAAGATGTTTTTTAAGATGTTTATCTCAAAATAAAGAAAAATTCGGCAATTTTTAAAATTTTTAAATGAAATATTGTTTTAAATTGATTTGATGATTAATTATTATATGTTAATTATGTATGATTACTGTTATTATATATGGTGTTTACACAGCTAAACTTGATATAAATTCTGCATGTAGTTATATGAGCATGTTTTTAACTTGGTATGAGTAAAAACAATTAAGATTCAAAATGTTATTGTTGTTGAGTTTAAAGCGGTTTGGTATCTTAACATTAAAATAATATTCAACACAAAAAACCTTTTTATACGCCCGTTTACGGGACGTATTATGGTATACCTCTGTCCGTCCGTCCGTCGTCAACATGTCGGACATTAACTCAAAAACGCTTTAACCAATTTGCATAAAACTTTGGTGAATTGTTTATATCTATTGACGTGAGCTCCCTTTCTTTTTTATAAATTTTAGATTTTACGTTTCCGAGTTATGGGGTTTTATTCATTAAAAAAAGGGGATTTTCCAGTTTTCGGACAATAACTCAAGAATGCTTTCACCAACTTGCAAGAAATTGTGGTGAATTGTTTATATCTATTGACATGAGCTTCCTTTTGATTTTTATAAATTCAAGATTTTACGTTTCCGAGTTGCAGGGTTTTATTCATAAAAAAAGGGGGATTTTCCAGTTTTTGGACAAAAACTCAAAAATGCTTTCAGCAGTTCTTATGAAACTTTGGTGAATTGTTTATATCTATTGATGTAAGCTCCCTTTAGAATTTTATAAATTTTACATTTTACATTTCTGAGTTATGGGGTTTTATTCATTAAAAAAGGGGGGATTTTCCAGTTTTCGGACAATAACTCAAAAATGCTGTCAGCAATTCTCATGAAACTTTGGTAAATTGTTTATATCTATTGATGTAAGCTCCCTTTTGATTTTCATAAATTTCTAATATGACATTGAGAATTAATTGAACTTTATTTGTTTATAGTCTGAAAACAGATTTACTAAGTATTGCGCAACAGCACAGTGTATTACACAACAGCAAGAAATAATTCAATTCATATAACCAATTTCAAGTTCTTTGACTAGATTTATTCAGAAACCTATAATATGTCAAATATTTAAATACAATCCAATTTCAGACCTGTATCAAGCTTGAATATTGTGTCCATTTTTGCCCCAACTGTTCAGGGTTGGACCTCTGCGGGCGTATCCAGCTGCGCTCAGTGAAGCAGTTTATTAGAAAGTCACTTTATTTTGAAACAATGAAAAAAAAAAAATATAGCAATACACTAACCAAAACACGATTAAAAAGATATTCAACACAAAAACGTCACATTATTTTGCATGTTTTGAAACAATGAAAAAAAACTTATTTATAGCAATACAATAACCAAAACACGATTAAAAAATTATTCAACACAAAAATCGTTTTTAGAAAGTCACTTCATTTTAAAACAATGAACAAAAAAAATATTTATAGCAATACACTAACCAAAATACGATTGAAAAATTATTTAAGACAAAATCAATAAAAAGGATGCGAACGTGAAAGGGGGCGAACGTGAATGGGCGCGAACGGACCCGGATTCAAAAAGAAGCACTAAAAAGCATGATGGTAATAAGCAGAATATAAGCATAAGCTAGGTATTAAAGCTAAAAGCATATAAGTGTAAAGTAGGCATAAAAGCTGGTAAAATGCATAGCATAAAATGTTTTAAAGAAAAAAGGGGGTATGATCTAAATGGTAAATAATTTTAGCATAATATATTAACTAAAAATCTGCACAAACTGTGCACTTACAGTCATTTCGATTCCATGACTTTAAAATATTTTTGAACTGACTAAAATTAGCAATTTTTCTAAAATCATCAGGTAGATCATTCCATAAAACAGCAGCTGTGTATTTAAAAGAGTTCTTACCATAGGTTGATGTTCAGACCCTAGGTATATCTACAATATTAGAATAAAGGAACAAAACAATGACATGCTCTCATCTATATTATAGTTATTTAGGTACATACAATGTACGTTTGTTGCATAAGTCTCTCATTGTTTGTCCTTTGGATTTACATAACATACATTGAATCAGGCAAACATAGTTTTATCCAGATTGTAATGAATAAATCTAGTTAATATTTCGCCAGGTAGTACAAAGTATACATTGCAAATGGAAGTTCATTTAATTATCAAAAAACTAATGTTTTATAACCTTTTTCAGGGCGCAAACCCACCATACAGAGACTTAAGTCTACTGCCATTCCCAGCCTATTTTCCTGGACCAAGCAAGAGACTGAATCGTCCGCAAAAAGAAAAATCAGGGCAGTTTCCTGTGAAAACAAAAGAACTAAACTTGATGAATATTGTAGTAGAAATCTAGAGGAAAGTTTTGATTGTAAAGTTGGTTTTCCTGAAGAAGTCATTCATACTGCAGAAAGGATTTATGACTGTCCACCACCAACTGCCGAGCTAATGTTGAGCTTCACAGATGGAATTACGCAAACACCATCAATGCCTATGTTTTCAGCAGAGAATTTTGAAATGAATACATGTGACACAGCCATGCATTTTTATACCGGTTTAGAGTTGTATACTAAATTTTTATTTGTTTTGACCACACTTGGTCAAGCAGCACATTGTTTGAGATACATATATTTTCAAATTGATAGGGTGTCAGTTGAAAATCAGTTTTTTTATGACTTTGATGAAATTGAGGCATTATACAACCAACTTTGAACTGTCTAGATTCTAGATTGAATCTAGTGTTAATAATATTGTGTATACATGGATTGTTTCTATGTCCATACAGTGGTGTGAGGCTAACACTTGGCCATCTAGTGGTTTAGTCATTTATTTTTCGCCATCCAACTTCAAATTAAAGTTTCCTACGACTTGGATTATTATTGACAGCACAGAATATCCCGTGATAAAACCTAAAGCTCCTAGAGCTCAGGCAACCTTGTCATCATATAAAAACAGAAACACTGAAAATTCTTGTATGTTCGACACCTGGTAGTTTAGTCAACTATGTCCCTAATGCATATGTTGGTTGTACCAGTGACTATGAAATAGTTGAAAGATGTAGAATAGTTCAATTATGTGATCCAGGTGACTGTGATGGCAGACAAAGGTTCAAAAAAGAAACAGAATTAGTTCCAAAACTCTTATACGGGATAAAAAAGTCTTCAATTAACATGTGCACATAGAGCGAATTATTGGACTTGGCAAAACATACAAAATTCTAATAAATCCTATGAATGGAACTGAAACAAAAATTTCATCTGAAATAACATTTAGTTGTTTTATGTTGTGTAATTTTAGAACTTGTATTGTGCCAAAGGATGCATAAATAAAAGTGAAGCAATGAATTTTGTTCTGATATACATGTATATATATATTAACAATTACATGCACATGTAAATTGTAATGCATATAAAAATAAGGAGATGTGGTATGATATTCAGTGAGTTTATCGAACTAAAGTGCATAAGAAATGTGTTTAAGCAGTTACAGGTGTTACTGTCACCGTACAATTTCCAACAATGAGAAAAACTCGTACTGTGTAAAAAATTTCAGAGATCTTACAACTAAGTTTTGTTGTCTCACCTTGACTTTGGTGAATTGTTTATATCTGTTGATGTAAATATAAAAAAGAAGATGTGGTATGATTGCCAATGAGACAACTCTCCACAAGAGACCAAATGACACAGAAATTAACAGCTATAGGTCACAGTACACCCTTCAACAATGAGCAAAGCCCATACCGCACAGTCAGCTATAAAAGGCCCCAAAATGACAATGTAAAACAATTCAAACAAGAAAACAAACGGCCTAATTTATGTACAAAAAATGAACGAATATAACAAATATGCAACACATAAACAAACTACAACCACTGAATTACAGGCTCCTAACTTGGGACAGGCACATACATGTACATACAGAATGTGGCGGGGTTAAACATGTTAGCTGGATCCCAACCCTCCCCCTAACCTGGGACAGTGGTGTAACAGTACAATATAAGAACAAACTATAAAAATCAGTTGGAAGAGGCTTAACTCATCAGATGGATAAATACAAATACAAGTGGACGTGGTCGGGTAGTTGTACATCCAAACAACAAAAAGACACTAAGTACAGATCTGAGAGTACTCGCAGTTACCGACAGCTAGTTCAAAGCCACTTACAACTGATAAAAAAATCTTGCATCTAAGACTAAATTATCAATCCGTAAGCTCCCTTTAGAGTTTTATAAATTTAAGATTTTACATTTCTGAGTTATGGGGTTTTATTCATTAAAAAAGGGGGGATTTTCCAGTTTTTGGACAACTCAAAAATGCTTAAAGCAGTTCACATGAAACTTTGGTGAATTATTTATAGCTATTGATGTAAATCTCTCCTATTGATTTTCATAAATTTCAAATATGACATTTAGAGGAAATTGAACTTTATTTGTTTATAGTCTGGCAACAGATTTATAAGGTATTGTGCAACAGCACAGTGTATTGCACAACAGCAAGAAATCTTTAATTGAATATAAATTCAATTCATATAACCGATTTCAAGTTCTTTGACTACATTTATTCAGAAACTATAACATGTCAAATATTTAATTACAATCCAAATTCAGACCTGTATCAAGCTTGAATATTGTGTCCATTTTTGCCCCAACTGTTCAGGGTTGGACCTCTGCGGGTGTATCCAGCTGCGCTCAGCGAATCAGTTTATTTCTTAATTAAGAACTCCTTTTTTCATTCATAAATTACTTTATACTTGGAAATATAATTTTGCTTGGAGTTATAGTTTCTTAAAAAAGTATTGCCATTGAAAGAGTTGACATGTTGCAATGTACATTTATTCTACATAGTTCTATGGTACCAAATCAAAAGTTTATATGAAAGAAAGAAGTCAAAGGTTTCCCATCATAGTTTAGTTACATACATTTTTTTTGTACCTGAGGTCGTTGAATATAGATCATTATCATCCATACTTACCAGTAACAAACCACATTTGCAGAGTTGAATAAAATACAGTTGATAACATTTACTTATTACTAAAAAGAAAATGCCTAACTATTTTAAACAGTATTTGAATATCAATTATATGGTCATTTTTATAAATTTCCTGTTACAAAACTTTGAATTTTTCGAAAAACTAAGGATTTTCTTATCCAAGGAATAGATTACCATAGCCGTATTTGGCACAACTTTTTGGAATTTTGGGTCCTCAATGCTCTTCAACTTTGTACTTGTTTGGCTTTGTAACTATTTTGATCTGAGCGTCACTGATGAGTCTTATGTAGACAAAACGCACGTCTGGCGTATTAAATTATAATCCTGGTACCTTTGATAACTAATTTGACTATAAACATAGATAAAAAAGGAACAAACTGGACATAATGCACTAGTTCATAAACAAGTGAGAACAATCGCCTTCATATAGTGCTCAGAATATGACATTCATAAAACTTGTTCAATATCATTAGAAAACTCTAAATCCTAAATACTGAAAGCCACCTCTGATAAGTACATGTACACTGTACTATGCAAGATAATGATATAACTGGACTAAAAATACACACAACCTGTAATTAACTGCCTTTACAGCGCTATCACGCTTTGATTAATTAAAGGAGACATGACACGATTTAAAAAAAAATTTTTTTTTTTATTAAACTAATAAATATTAGTCTTAAAACATGTTTTGTACAATTTTGCTGGTCAAAACCTGATAAATCAGCACTTATCTGGTCAAAGAATCAAGCGCTTGTCATTAAGAATGATTTTTAATTAGATAACGATCACGTGATCGTGCTGACGTCAGTGGTTACAAGCTGGGAAAATGTCTCTTAAGTGGACGATGTCGATACACTATGGACGGTATTGACAGCACTTCTCCAGATTACTGACAAACTATAAAGACATTGTGTGTGAAAAATAACCAAGAAAAGGATATTAATTCTTCATGCGAAGAGTCCAAAAACGACGATTTTTCAGACAATACCGATCGGATTGTTACAATACTGTTACATATTTGGTTTATCTGATGAATAAATTTAAAAGACCGCTTTCTGCATTTTTTCATTTAAATAAAACTACTTTTTAATCATGATTGAAAATATATATTTCTAATTATTGATGATCAAATTGTTCTTTTTTCTCTCTCTGTTACGGTAATGTTATAATTATGTGTGCGCCAGAAGCAGAAAAAAAAAAGATAGTAAAAGTCAAACAAGGCGTTCGCAAAGTGTCCGTTTTTATTTTTTTTTATTACATAGAGACTTAATATGTATACATAATTTTTTTGGTTGGAAACCATACATCACACAAAGGATTTGTATAGTGAAAAATCCTTTATCACACTATTTCTGCATTAGGATATTCAATTAACAATTTTATTACTTTCCCCCTTTTATGTAAACAATTCAATTCAATATTTTATTTATGTCTCACCTAATGTATAAAATTACACAATACAAAACATTTATTGGAGGCTGTTGTTTTAGTGATTAATTGTTGACACCTATAGCATACTTGACCAGGTGAAAGGTAAGAAGGCACCTGTAGTGTGATTTAGTCACGTGTTATGTTATTTACCTTTAAAAATCATACATTTCTAAGAAAAACTATCTTATGTTGAAATCATTAATATAGTTATACTACACTTCTAAAGTATGCTATTCCATCCAGACCCTTATAAATCTAACTTCAAATTTAAGGAATTACACAAAGTAATATTTCCACCCCTCTCTTCCAAATATCATTTAGCAATCAATTTGGTTATTGCTACCAGCAAAACGCTTGAGTCCAGGAAAATTTTCGCAACACATAATGTTCTTTTTCAAAATATTTTTTCTAAAAGGGGTCATTTGAATAAATTAAAGATTTTCAATCGAACTGAGCAGGAAAATGTTTACATGTAGCATACTTCAGTCTTCGAGAACATGAGTTGTGTATTAGCTGTACTTGGCTTTGATCTCCCATACAGAAAAATGATAGGATGGCCAACTGCATTGCTCAACTGGCCGCCAGTTGAACAAACAGTTGAGGGCCAGTTGAGGGCTAGCTGGCCATCAGTTGAGCAAATAGTTGAGGGCCAGTTGAGGGCTACCTGGATTTTTGCCATGCAAATTAGGTAGCCCTCAACTATCAAATGCTCAACTTTATGCAAATTAGTTGAGCAAGGTTGAGAAAATATCATAGTTGAGGGCTAGGTGTCCAATAGTTGAGCAATTAGAGTTGAGGGCTACCTGGCCAACAGTTGAGGACTAGGTCATTAAAAGTTGAGGGCTAGGTGGCCAATAGTTGAGGGCCAGGTCATTAAAAGTTGAGGGCTAGGTGGCCAATAGTTGAGGGCCAGGTCTTTAAAAGTTGAGCATTACATGTATCTGGTCATTGCAAACTGATGACTACACATTGTAGAAAAAATAAATTTAAATTGTGTATTTTATATAGCCAAAATACTGCTGAAAGATCTTAACACACAACAGACTACATGACAGCTTTATCCTTGCTTATTAAAAGTTAGTAAATAAAATCTAGTTAATCCTGCAGCCATATTAATCTTTATGCAAGGAGAAGTATTTAGATATATATTGAAATACTCAAAACAGAAAGTGTTGTTCAACCAGAAAAAAATTATATATATTTATCTGTCATTTGTGGATAGATGTCTTATTTGCAGTCATACCCCAAATCTCTTGTTTTATACCAAATTCATTATATTAGAATATTCTTATTTTATTAGTAATACTTTCTAAAACAAATTGTCTTAATAATAGAATAAATATGTCTCCTGTCTTACACATTTTGATAATATATAAATTAATGCATAAATATATTGTCTAAAATTTTTCTTCACTCTAAAAAGTTAAGAAGACACTTTAAATATC